ATTATATAAGAACAGATTAATTAATATATGTTTCGGTTTATGAATTGCCACCTACTGTTCATGCATGTCGATAATGAAAGATATTAAACATAATATATTAGAGTGAGTGTGAAAAAAAAGCAACGAACAACTATCATACTAATTCCACAGTGGACTTTGATCTTGCAGTTATATCTGTGATAGTGAAGATCTGTCACATATGTGTGTATATTTCAATATGATCAATAATACTTTGAAAAAAGCAAAAGATTGTTCAGAATAGACAATTAATGTATGTTCAGTAGATATATGTATATATATGTTCTGAAAGTTATTTCTTAGAATTTAAAATGATATTTCTACTCCTTTGTTTTTATTCTGGGTGATGCTGTATAAGAGAAAATTTGTCCAGAAATGATAATGTCTAATATAGTTTTTGATACTTCTGACAATTGAGTTAAGTTTTCTTATCATTTTCTAACATTATTTTCATATCTAATTTGTAAATAATATACAAAATTGGATCAATATCTTTTATTTAGCAATACTATTCTTGTAATCATATGATAAATGTAATGACAAACGAACATGATGATTTTTCTTTGCTATCGTTAATAATCGTTCAATCGATCATTAATATGGAATAAGGAAAAAAAACGATTTGCATATCATTGAATCATTGCACTATGCATAACATAACATAAATTTATCATAAACTTACAGTAATTGAACATTTTAATATTATTATTCATTTAAGCGGAATAAAAAAATTTATTGGTGAAGAAATAATGTTATATTAAAAACACATTGTATAATTAGGAGAAAAAAAGCTTGAATCATAACACATACCAAATTATAATAACAAATTTATGATTGTCCTTTTCTTTTGTCTACTGGATGAATACGTTAACTAAGAATCTGTAGAAGTATCATTTTCTTCGATTTTCTGTATTCCTGTTGTAGCATACAAGTCACAACAGATTCAATACTATCTGATAATTCGTTGAATATTTATTGATCTTTCATTTAATATCTTTCGACAAAATAATTAGATTTGAAAATTTGCATGTTCTATTTTAATAAAATAGTCCTCTATTAAATCATGATTAAAGAATTACGTAGTAATATGATTCAAATATTCTACAATTATGAAGTAACATACAAAAAACAAATGTACTATTACAAACAAATGATCAATGAACATCTTGTAGTTACTAAGCATGAAAGTATTATCACAGCTGTAATCCGTCGTTTGAACTTATATTTATGACCGTTTTAGTGAATTTTTGACATATTTTTAGGTATTTACTGGAAAATCAAATAATGGAATCTCGACCGAAAATTCAGCCCATAGACAAGTACAATGACTATTATAATAACCTGACAGTTTTAGTTGTAAAGAATATTCATTGGCCGAGATACTGAATTTCCAACCATCATTCGCTTGCCACAGATATATGTCACAAAAATCGAGTTTACTTGAAAATTCATAATCTTAACCAACGAATACTCTTGTCGACTGAAACTTTCAAGATATTCCAAGGAGAGTGTGATGTGGGTGTGGTTGTTTTGGCAATATTTAGAAAACCGAACAGTGAAGTGATTAAATGTATTTTTCAATAGCAAATGTGACAAGCAGATTTAGATATCAAATCATTTGAATTTTGTTCAGATCGATGTAAATCAATTTTGAAAGGTTTTTTTTTGTGTCAGCATCAACTTTTATCGAGTCTCGCCTAATATCAGAGCCTTCCATCGTCTCTGCTCTCATTATCATACTCACACTCTAATTCTAGCTCGAAAACCAATGCAAGTTTCAGAAGATTTCGAGATAGTCAACATAAACATGGCAAAACTTCCCATATGTATATCCTAAGGAAAAGCCGAATTTTTGTATTATTGCCAAATCATCGTAAAATCAAACTAATAGCTTTTTTGTCCATGGAGAAATTTCCATTCTAATGTAATAACTTCGTAAATTCATGAAAGTATTATTCTTTCTCTCTGTCTTGCACAGAATCGAGAATAAACTGTGAAAATGGTTCAAAGAAAACGAGATTGGAATGCATCGATTCACGAATCGCCACAATTCTACGTAGTCCTCAAGCGAATGAGCGTCGACTCGACAATTTGATCGTATGTCGCTGACATAACAATCACACAAGTATTCCGAAACGATAAAACTGTACCAATCGAAGCTGTCTATTGTTTTCCTATTGGAGAATGTATTCTCCATCACCCTATAGAGCTAATGTACACTTTGCTAGACAGAATTATGATGAGGCTCAAACGTCTGTCGATCGCAAGAAACATGAAATGAAATCTATTAGAATGTGTTTTGAAGATGCTGAGGAACCTTTTGAACAGCGTTGAGCATAAAATACAGTTTGATGAAATCTATTACGAAAGAGCATGAGAAACATCTCGAAATGGCTTGTGAATCTCGATGTAACGATGCTCACGATAATTTGTCATCAACAATACAATATGCCGAAGCTCTTGAGCATTTTGAACAAGAGAAACGATCTTCGAAAAGGTCGTACTATGCTATGCTTCAGGCTGACTCGGTCAATCAAGATATTGTTCGTCACGTAATCAACCAATAAAAATTGATACCTAGCTTATCGAACAGTTGACTAGCAAAATATTGTTAGAATTTCAACAGTTAACAAATACAGAAGTGCTAATTTCGGCCATCATTGTCGTTGTGCTCGAGACATATTTTGCGTCGCTTTCATCAATGTGATATAGTGTAGTACAGAAAGCACGAAAATATCTCCTTGATATGATCGACAAAAACAATGAGAAATTTGGCACTTTACTCGCGAACATTCGAAAACAACTATAAAGAATTAAAAGTCTATTAAATGAATATTTCAAGATTTATTAAAGTGGTTAGAATAAATAATCATAATAATTAAAAAATGAATAAATGATTTCATCTATATGCGTGTTCTAATACTGTGCATCACGAAACTTTGCATATATACAAGACAGAGGTAGTGTTGGAACAGTTCAAACGATAAGCGTCACCTTTTTCAAATTTTATTCGAAACTCCTTCGTTTTTTTCTTCCATATAGTTTCGTATACAACAGTTGTACAGCGTTTCGAGTAAACAAGATACTGATTCTTCAAAGATGAAAACACCATTACTTGAATAAAAAACGGCAGAATATGTAAACTGGTGGAGACTCGAGTCTCACTCGACTTTGCTCTATTGTAATAGAGACTATGATATCATGAAGTGTTGAGTAACTTGCTTAAAGTTTTCTTCACTTCCCACGTATAGAAATAAAATAACACCACAGAAGATTTCCTCTATCTAATTTTGGTGGATAGTAGCATTTTTCTCCCATATTCGTGCCGCTAGATGGCTAAACATTGGTCATTAAAAGATACAATTGTAAAACAAAACTCATTAATACTGATTGCAAGAATCTGAATTCACTGTCGCTTTTCTATTATCAGTTGTGTAATTTTATTCAACAAATATCAAACTTCAATGCCACGAACATGATCTCAATATTTGATCAGGTAGAGAAAAAAGATCAAAATATCAAACCCTATGATCTTCAGCCAAAACGACAGCTTCACTCGGATAGATTTCAGATTGAAACTGGACAATTTGTTTAGCGGTTGTTAGTCCGACCCAGGCGGTTATTCAAACTGGTTAGCTAATAGAAATTTTATCTCTTCTAATATAGTTTATGTTGTTTCATTTTTTTATAAATTTTATCGTGTCTCCTGTCTACACTTGAATGTAGTGACTTAATGAAAGTTAAAAACTTTTTTATTCGAAACGACCCTATCTTTCAAAAGAATTCTTCCGCCATTTTCAGTGTTACTCTGTATATATGAAATAAGAGAGAATAGATATGAAAGATTTCTTTTTTCGCAAACTGAAAGATTTGATAGAAGTGTTTGATATCCACCTTTTTTTTTTATAGATTCTAATGATACAAGTTGTCAAAACGTTGTTACAGTTAAATTTATTTCTCGCATGCCTATAAGAAATTTGTTAAATCTCAATATATTAAAACAGTGTTTTATGTGCATATAAAAATGAGGTAGCATCATTTTAAAATTTCAATCAATCTGAAAAATGTAAAAACATCATAAAAATTACTTCGACCTAACATATGACTTCAATTTGGACAATATCTGTTGTGTTTTGAATGAGAAGAGGATATTCTTTCAAGATAAATAATAAAATATACAAAGATTTATTGGTATTTTATTTAAAAAGTAGTGAGATGATTAAATATATTATCCAATAGCAAGAGTATCAAAGATATTTAGATATTACATCATTGAAGTTTTATTTACATCGATGTAAATTAACCAACCTTGAAGTTTTTTATATAATCGCCAACTTTGTTAAGTTTCGCTTAATATGAAAATCTTCTACTGTCTGCTGGAAAAATATTAATTAGTTTAAAAAAAGACTTGATTTTGAATTATCTTCTGATATTATCGACTAAAATATTATAAGGAATTAAGTTGTAGACACTGAGAATTTATTCAATCGGATTATTAGATGTCGCTCTTAGTTGAATAATTGAGAGTATTTAATCGTATAATTCATTTTTGTTAAAAAAATAATGGTCAATTTTCAATTAAAGTGATCTCTTTCTTTTGTTTACTAGAAGTTTCATTTTAAAAAATAATCATAAATATCTTTAATTTGTTGTATTTAATCAACCAATGAGATAAATCTATCTCTCTCAGAGATAATCCCATCGCTTTCTTTCTTTGTTCAACTTACAAAAAAAAAAAAAAAAACAAAAATTGAATATAATATTATACCATTTGATTATATTCTCTTAAGAAAAGAAAGATACTTCATTTTCTTTTCTTCCATATATATACATATGAAACCTTTTGTTTGAATAAATTTGATGAAACCTTTAGAATTTTATTGATTTCTCTATCAACTTATTATAGATTTATTCGTTAGTTTTATTTTTATTTCATCAATTCTTGTTCGATTGAAAAAAAAAAAAAAGAAAAAAAAATCATCATGCTCTTACACAATAATACGATTGCCACTGCTGGTTTTCTTTCACCTACAGAATCTCCATCATCAACAACAAGTGTCTATTCTCAAACAAATCCATCAATACCATCAACAAATCAATTTTATCAAAATTTTCCACCACCTTGGATTCAACAATATAATAATCAACGATTATTAACTCAACAATTTTTTGTACGTATATTATTTATTAATTTTATTGTTTTGTTTTGTTCTTCAAATATTCATTCTTACAGGAGTTAGAGATATTTATTAACAGGTAATCATTTTTATTTAGTGTCGCTTCTTTTGTATCTTTGCTTTATATATATATGTGTGATATTCTAACAAATTTTGAGTCTTATCACATCGTTTTTTCAGGAGAGATAATGTCTGATGATGATGATGATGAAGATGATGATGATGGTAAGATAGTTTGATATTGTCTGTTTTTTATTTTATTGTTGGTGTCGTGGTTTGCCTATTATCCCATATCAACTATCTTGCACATATATATCTTTTTTTTTAAGCACTTGATGCAATTATTCTATAAAGGAAAAATCGCATGAATGGATTATTAGTCCTATTCCATGTAGTGTGATTATTTTTGTTTTTATGCATGTATAAGAGCATGTCAATTTCTTTTGTCCATATAGGTGATGTACAGCATGAAGTTAGTTTTATTTTTCTATGAATGAGGATGATGTGCATGTATGTATGTTATTCTTTTTCTTTTCTTTTTAATACGAATCAATGTCTATCGGTCAAATTGAGTTGATAAATAAACATAATATATGAGTGTTCATTTCAATCATAGAGAAAAATGATAACCTTGTTTGAGTAGTAATTGTCACATACAAGTATACGACAAGGTCTGTTTATGTTGTACGTGTCAATTGATCAATTTTCATAGTAATCCTTGTTTGTGTCACGATCGTCATCAATTTTTTTTTTCTTCGTTTGACAGAAATTTTGATTCATTCTTAAGATATGTTTTGTACGAGTCATTGTCTTTTTGTATTAAAGAGAATAGTCAAGTCTATATTTAGAATCATTTCTAGTAAAAGCATATGTCTCATGTGATTACGAATAATCTAACATTTATGTATGCCTGCCTACACACGATGCATACATTCGTCGATTCGAATATGTGAAAGAGGAAAATACGAAAAAAGACACCAGCAGAGAAAAACCTGATCATGTATATACAATCTGCATACATACACAATTGGCTTTGTTAACAAAAGAAAGAGAACACAAAATAGAAAAAGAAAACTATAGAAAGAGTCTCCTTTACGAGATGTAATGAATGAAGATTCTTCACTATTCAAAAATTACCAAAACAATAGATAGAAAGAGAATGAGAACAACAAAAAAATTGTGGGAAAGAAAGAGAAGAAAAAAAAAATCATATTTCATATCTTTGATTATTTCGTCGTTTTGTTACTCGTCGTTATTCTTATTATTGTCTCCATCGATTTTCATAACATGCTCATCAAATGAGTCCAATAGAGACACAAAGCAAAAGACCGATAAAGAATATATATATATATATGAAAAAAAAAAAGAATGTTTCGTTGTTATTATCAAACAAAAGAAGAAGCCTACTGTAGTGTGATCACTCAATCGAACCAAACTTACACATCATTTAGAACGACAAGGAAAAAGAAAAAAAGACTAAAAAGTGTATGCGCGTATCACATCGACAATAGTACACGAGGACTCTTCTCACTTGGCGGCTCGTTCAGTTAATCTTCTCTTTTCTATCGATTACGTGCATACAACAACCACACGACTACGACTGTTCGACAGTGTGTCGTGAATAAGCAAAAAAAAAAAAAGAAAAAAGAAAAAAGAAACGAGTCTACTACATTGAAACAATCATAAAATAATCATATTTTCGTTGTGTATATGTGTGCATCTAGTTCACACGCGCACGCCATCGAACTAAACCGACATGTTGTTAATTGTAAGTGCATGTTTGTAAGACTCAAGGGAGGAAAAAAAAAAGACTTTCATCTCGTAATCGAGATATTTGAATTCTATTGTCTTTGATTGTCTCACGATTTTATATTTTCTTATGCTGGCAACTAACTCATCTTGCTCTATTTGTCTTGTTTTTTTTTTTATGTATTTCATATGATAGTTATAAAAATGTTCAATTTTTGTTTTTCTTGTTGTTATTTTTATTTATTTTTTTATTATTTAGAGTCCGACGATGTTAGCAACAGCTTCATCACATAGTATTAATAGCCGGAGTAACAACAATACGAATACAACTAGTCCCACGACAACACTTCTTACAAAAAACGATCTTATCGCTTTTCATCATCTTCAACAACAACTCGATGCATCATCATCCAATTCGGTAGGAATATTAAATATATATATATATATAACTACATGACTTCCGGCCATATGTTCATATAGACAATGACTTAGACCATTTTCTACTCTTTGCAAATTTTATCCACTCGGTTTTTCTTTTAACATCCTAATTAGATGAATGACGAGATGGTAGAAGAAAGAAGATAAGAAAGAAAAAAAAAAAGACGATACGAGAAAAAGAAAAAGAGAGTTCGGTCAACAGGCAATATTTAGATGTATGTGATCGATTGATTGAAGAGAACAGTTGAACATAATGAAAGCATCTGCTCAAGTATATCGATGTTCTATAGTGAGAAGAATTGCAATTAGTCGGTCATTCGCTTACTTGATCCGTCTGTCTGTTGTATTTATCTTAAGATCGACCGGAAAAAAAGTAACGAAACGGAAGTTATCTTATAGGAACAGGCAATATCTTGTCTTGTCTTGTCTCTTTCTTTCAAAATCAAACTTATTAGTAAAATAAGTCAAATAGAAGAGAAGAGTAATAGATACATCTTTTGATTTTATGAAAACAAAAAAATAAGCTTGTGTATGGGATGTTTATATCTAAGCAAATAGTAATTAAGCATTTATATTTCCTCGAAAATTTGTTGGCAATATATTTATTAGCAGTTTATAGATGATAACAAGTATATGTATTATTTGGTTGGTTAGTAAGATATCTACGTATTAAGAAAAGAAGAAAAAGAAATATAGACAATGACAATATCGAGTATTCAGTTAACATATGATAGTAACGATGATGAATAGAAAGAAAAAAAGAATTAGTAACATCACCAAAAATTTTTCTATATATATATATATATATATTTCTCTTGTATTCTCTGTAGTAGACACATGACTATACGTTTGCACATTTTTTTCTCTAGATTATATTATCGAAGAGTGATGATAGTATTCTCTTTTTTTCTCTCGATTTTTTTCCTAACAGTTGTTTATATTCGTTCTCTTACTATTAATGAACGAGAATGCTAACCGAATTTTGTTTTCTGTTCTTCTAGTTTTGTATGTGTGTTGTATTTTATTGATGCTACTGCTATCTTTTTTCTCTCCACCCATTTTCCCAATATAGATCGTCTTTCTTTTTTCTTTTCTTTCTTCATATTAGTGCGAGCAATGAGATATATGAGAACATTCGTCTTCTTCTATTGATTCCACGAGTTCTCTCTTTTCTTTTTCTGTTATTGTTGTTGGTGCTATATCTACAATGTTATATTCATTTCTACCATCAGATAATTATTTAACATTAAATGTAAGTTTTTGGTTGGACTAAAAATTTTTCTAAATATGTTAAGTCAACTGAAAAATAATATTGAAATAGGGTGGAGAATATAGAATGATTTATTTTCGGTTCAAAGATCTCTTCAAAATGCAAATACATGGTAAAAGAAAGATCATATTCCCGGAAGCACATTAAATTAAAGATTAGAAATGCATATAAATTAGTTTGATAGAATAGCTTAACAAAACTAGATATAATAATATATAACTATCAAAAATTTTCCTTTTGTTCTTAGCCTTTAGTACCAACATTATTAGCGGCTGCAGCCTCGTCATCAGGTTCAACAACAACAACAAGTACCACGGGACCATCATCAACAATAACTAATGGTACATATTCTTCTCTATCATCTTCAACGGACTCATCAACATTGGTTACAGTTCCTAGTCAACTTCATTCATATGCATCTACAAAAATGAATAAAATATCCAGTCTTGTAGTTGATTCAACATCTCATTTACAAAAAATTGTTAATGTATCATCACCATCATCAATTAATGAATCAATAACAACGAACAGTAATAATAATAATATTACACAACCATTATCTCCTAATGATAATGTATATGATTCAAAAAAATAATCTTTTTTTTTGTAAAATAAAAATATATAAATGAAATTTTTAGGTTCAATCAAATTCTTGTTCATCTCATTCACCTCAATCAACAAGTACAATAACACCAAATGGTTCATCATCATCATCATCATCAATAAATAGTTCTAATACAACACAAAAACGTTTACATGTATCAAATATTCCATTTCGTTTTCGAGATGATGATCTTAAAGCTATGTTTGAAGTAATCACAAAAAAAAAAAAAGATTATTTTGAACTTTTTTGTTTTCCTCTATTTAGCAATTTGGTGAAATTATTGATACTGAAATTATTTTCAATGAACGTGGATCTAAAGTATGTCGAAAGAAGAAAAAAAAATATATATATAATTTGTTCGAATATTGACAGTAAACTAAAGTGATTTATATTCAATATAATCTATAATTATTAAATATTTCAAGCTAATTAAATTTTCTTTTCTATAGGAAATTCTAAGATTATCTTTTGTCGATTTTCATTTAAAAGAAAAATTATATTTTAAATTGAATTAATTTAATCTTATTGAAATAGAAATTCAGGATCTTATATGATGAATAAATGAATTATGAAATTAAGATTTTGTTTTTATATTTTTGCTTTTCATCTTTTACTTCATCATAGTTAAGTGCAAAAAAAGTCATAGCAAGAAACAACTTGACTTGTCAAGTGGAAGAAAAGAATAGAGATTTTTTGATTTTATTAACTAACTAATCTAATAAGAAAAAACTGACAAGATGATTTAAATAAAAGATAATAGCATTTCAGCTTTGAAAAGAGAAATTTCAGTTTTTTTTTTCTATACAAATGTTATAGCAAAGTTTCTATCGTAGTGATTAAGTATGAAAATCGAGAAAAATTTTATTGAATTCTTTTGTTTTTTTTATTTTTTAAAGGGTTTCGGTTTTGTAACATTTGCATCTAGTGATGATGCTGATGCTGCTCGAGAAAAATTACATGGAGCTATTATTGAAGGACGTAAAATCGAGGTATGTATAGGAATCATTTTACTAATTAATTTTCTTGATTATGTTTGATAATTAAAAAACAAGAATATATCAAGAATAAAATCTAGCTCATATCTCTTCTTCTAGTTCTTTTTCTACTACTACTACGCGTGAATCAATATATATAG